TAAGAAAATATCTTAAATATCTCAATTTCTCCCCCATACACCCACTCCCAACTTGTTCTGTTAAAGACAAGTACATAGTTTAATTATTCCAATTCTGAAAGACTGGTAACTTCAACTTTCTTAAGAAAATGATCCAAGAAAATGAAAAAACTGTGGAAAACTTGAGAAGTCAGATAACGATGGCGGGGAACTATCACCCAACTAATAGTCATTAAATCATTGTCTCCCTGAAAAGGCAGTAATGAATTTAGCAATAGCAGAGGTCAAACTGGTTGCACGTGAACTTACTTGTGTACTAAAGAGAGCAATTTGTGCAAAACCAGTAACCTACAGGCAGTTACGTGTGTAAACCCAACGCTCTGTGTTGTAAGCCTGCACTGAAAGACCACTCCAGTACCTTTTCTGGTGTTATTTGGAGCTATAAAAATCTGGGCAAACTCAGGGCTAGCACAGGTCTATCTACACTCCCGGGGTCTGACTGGATCAAGTACAAAATCCATCAGCAACTATTCTCCAGTTTGTTTCTTCTTGAGCGGGGTGCTAATGTCTTGAACACAAGCTTCAGCTACGTGACAGTCTTCACCTTATAAATGCTTCTGGTTGATTTCTGTGTTATCTGGACTGGTTGGAAGACAAAAGGAGTCACTGGAAACCCTGTCCTCCATAAGTAACAAGACTTCATTCAATGGACAATCTGCTTGAAAAGCAAAAGAGCATTTGATCTCATTTCAGTATTGACAGAAAGAAGTAAGGGCAGAAACTCACAGGAATGGATACTTGCATATAAGAGATTATTGTTAAAAGCTGTAACATAGGATATCACTGGCAAAAAGATGCAGTAAGCCCCACCTCAAATGCAAAAGGTTAGATCTGTTGTCCCACAGAGGAACGTGATAGAGAGTCATCACATTTGCAGACCTTTTCTAATGCACCTCCGTGTCATCACTGGATGGCAAAGCATGGTAACGTGAGATACCTTCAAAGCATGCAAAATGGAAGGCAAACACCAGACACCACTTCCCTCCAGACTGAGAAACCTTCGTATACATCGTTACTGCAACATCAGATCTTTGCAGCTCAAAAACTTCCTAGAGGGACACGTTCCAAAGGCATAAACAGTCCAGAGGAAGCAATGCCAGCCGATTAGAAAAAATGTTGTCATGCTTCTCTGTGGAGGAGTAAAATGATAAAAGAAATTTCTTTTATGTATGGATGGCTCAACCATAATGCTATTTTAACATTTTTTTCTTGTAACCCATCTACACACAACTATTTAAGCATTTGTTATAAAGTATGTATGGGGTGACTCATCCAGCTGAAGAATAAGCCTAATTGGTCAAACTTCCAGGACACTGTGTGCTGAGCTATAGAGAATCATAATCTCATCTATTAGGAGATGTGACAAGTTGCAGAAGCTATCTAAAATTCCTGGAAGAGGTAGAGTGAAATAAGAACTGTTGCCTAGGGACAGTCTCTTCTTTACGATAATTAAAGAGCTCAGATCTGTGCTATTCTGGATGGATGAAAAATATGCATGCATAAGCTTAAATTCTGGCTTTGGCTTGCTCATGCGAGAAAGTTGTCTAATAATTCATTAGCCTCTTCAATAAAATATACCCAAAAGGCAGAATAAAGGGCATCTGTAGATTTGACTGCAATGTTCATATGGTCCCAAAATTTCCCCCAGAGATCCTGCTCTTCTGTATAATGCAGCTAACATGACTCAGAAAAAAAACAAGAACTTGGGAAGAGCTGCCTTCTTCCCAGAGAACGTTCCCATACCAAATGACCATAAGCACAGAGGAAAGAAAAGCACTTCATAGACTGAATTTTTCCACACACACTCATTAATGCTATTCACTTTGCCATACTTCTGTTTGAATTGATGATAATTCTGTCGTTTTGGTGAAAAATAAAAGACAAGACATCTTACTTTGTATTCTCCAGGATGCCAAAGTAGCGCAGTAGCAGATAGGAGAGGACCTCTTGGCTATTTCTTTGCATTCTTTTAGTGTCCTGTCTCTTTCCCCAACATACAGATACGATGTGCTGAGAGATATTGTTCCTCACACTCAGATTGGTAGGGCTATAGTAGCAAAACGGCTCCCTATGAAAAGCCTTGAATTCAAGCATTGCTGTGGTCTCACACTAGTTGTACGTGCATTTCCCATACAGCTCACATCTTTGCAGTGCACTAAACCAATGGACCATCTACACTTGGATGGACTATTGGCCTTTCCCTCCATCATTTCTCTTGCAGAAATCAATGGGATGAATTACTTGCTTCTGCCAGTGCATTGCTACCAACAGCCTGGCTCAAGTATAGATGAATACTTTAATTTTAACCAGCGTGTTAGCAAGAAGTTGTGGATGATATTTCCAACACACCACATACTGGAAGGCTACACAAAGCAACCAGCCAGCAAAATAAAATATGATGATCTCATTTATATTCTCTTTTTTTAAGCTTTTAAAAGTGTAGCCAAACTGAGATAATAAAATTTAAGTATTTACTATGATTTCCTTTTACAAAAAACAAATGTAAAATGATTTCATCAGTACCAGATAATAGGCCTGCTTATAACCAGAGGCCAGTATTTTTAATAACTTCACTAAAAAAATGCACTGGTACAGAAATGTGGTGCAATAAAAAAAAGTACAAAAGGTAACAAAATATTACCTATTATCTCAGCTCATTTTTGTCAGGAGATAATACTACAAACTTAAGACAATACATGGAAGCCTTATGAAAAGCAGACAGGGAGAGGCTTATAGTCTTATCCAGTATTAGACGAGAGGCTGAGTGATTAATAAGTTGACATTGAAGAGCAGAGAATGGAAATAATATGGACTTCAGGGAAAGGAAATAGCTTAAAAATGAAACTGTCATGCTGCCAGGCTGCATGGGAAGAGGCACAGCTCCCACGGCCGTCCCCGCCGTGCAGCAGAGGGGAAGGCAGCCCAAGCCTCTGTCGGTGCTGTGCACACCGCTGGAGCCCCCGGCCGCCCCTCGTGCGCACAGGGGTGAGAGCAATGGGAGAACCACACTGAAAACAGGAAGGGGAGAGGAAAAAAATACATCAAAAGGAGAGGTTTGAATGCAACAGCAAGTTGGGTGTTTGAAGAACGGGAAAAATAAGACGCTCTATAGAAGGACTAGATGAAATGAGATTTATCCACAGCAGTGGATGAGCTATATATCTAACTTATGGGCCTCCAGCAGGTACAGCGTGTAAGGATGAGACGCTCTTGATTGCTCTTTTAAATAACAGGGCCAGATCTTTTGATGGGATTAAAACTTGGTCTTACACTGACTGTAACACTGTTCAGGGCTGCAGGATTAGGTTTTAAATACCCAGTGAGCATCGTTACTTACAACATCAATGATAATGCCATTTATTGCAGGTCACAAGCCACCACATCACTTCCAGGAGGCTCTGCATTTACTGTTGTTTCTCAGGCATGTTGGGTCTGGTTCTGATTTGTATGCTGTTCACTGGAAAATGCCTGCTGCGGTTTCCAAGACTGGGGATTGAACTCTGGCTAATTCGCTGTTTACTTTACTAGTGGTACCAACTCAGAGTCACTATTGGTGGTAAATAGGTACTATGCACCCAATAAGATCAGTGAAGAACTTGGTCAAAATCCACAGCATGTAAGCCCCTGGTAAGTAATTTAGATCAAAGTAGGTGATGTCCACTGAAAAAAAAAACCCCAAGAAGCTATAAACATTTATTCACAGACCTCTGAAGAATAAATTATGGCTTTAAATACCCTGGATGAAAGCAACAGAATTGTCCTTGTGAAATACATGTTAGTGAATTTCTGGAAAAAGCAGAAACAGAGCCATTCTGCAGTGCTTCGGAAGAGAGCAGCTAAACATTTCTCCTTTCAATAAGTTGAACAAGCCTTATCTTGAAGTTTATCAAGGATGAATGGTAACAATTTTTCCTGGATCACATTCCAATTTTAAAAGTGATAGTTTTCTTCTAAATTACTAGGAAATAATTATAATAAACTTTTCTATTTCTTGCAAAACTAAGAACAACTGGGCCAAATGACAGACTGTTCAGTCCCCTGAGTCAATTCCTGTTAATTGCCAAGGATGATACCCTTTCACAAAAATGTGTAAGCCCAATCCTAGCTCTTCAAGGAGCGGGATAATCGCTAGGCACTGCTCATTCTCTGTTTTCTACTCAGATCATTGATATTTCCTCTAGCTTTGGAAACGTGAAATCAGATCTCACATTTTTATCGCTCACATGCTCTGTGGTTTAGGAGAAGCACCATATCTTCTCAATGAAAAGGGAGAAAATACTAGCAGCTACACGCTTGAAGTCTAATTTTAGGAGGAGCCGAGCCATTCTAATGTGCTGCAGTCAACAGGAACTGAGGGTACTCAATAATTCATGAGTTTCTTTCCATGTTTGAGTAGAGCCTGTTGAGAATTTCTCAAGGCAACATTTTTCATTGGAAAATTCCAATTCCCGTGAACCAAATCTGCTTACAGGACAGGATATCCTTGGATACTTATCTAATATATCTTCTTTTATCCAGTTTGAAATTATCTACAATAATATAATTATATAATAATAAAATATTTTAAATATGGAAAGGGTTGCTTTACTACAAGACAAAGGAATATCTAAAAGATGAAACAAATTGTTTCACTCAATCTTCACTGTGATTTCTTTTTTCTTTTTAAACACAAATGTTTGAGAAGAAAAAAGCTTCAAACATGTTTTACTTTCAGTTTGGGCTGGAAAACGTCTTAATAATTTTTCCTGGGAAAAGAAAAACACTTCCTACTTTAGATCTAGTTAGTTTCATGCCCGTCCTAAAAAAAAACCCCAACCTTTATACTCATGCAGATAAACCTCTCTTTGACCCTAGTGATGAGTGGAGTGTTAAATTTGTTATGTCTTTACTGTCACTTTGATTCAGTTATTTTAAAATGAATGGCATTTGCATCAGAAGGCAGCAGAAGAACCATCTCTTACCTTTAGTCTTTCTGTTACACCATCAGTGAAACTGACTGTGAATTCAGCAATTTTGGGCACTCTGAGTTTTCCTTTGTTCTTCTGGTCAGGCTGATATTCTGTTCTTGTTTTCACGATTACCTGGAAAATATCAACACTTTTAAGGTTTCTGCACACAGCATACATCTGCTTTGTTATCTAAGCTGTTCTGTATAAACCAGCCCCTGGATCTCCGCAAGTCTCTTAGAACCGTAAAGTAACGCAAACTCATCACACACTCAGGAACTGAGAGAGACAGATAAATAGTCAGGAAGATGCACAGACCCAGGACAGCGAGCTTATCACACCGAGTCTTAAAATAGCTGACAGCAAAATGTTTAACACCCAGTTTTATTTAGGACCAGGCATATAATTTTTTATATCATAGTCAACAAGCAGAACACGCAGAATAACAGCCCATCCTAAAGAAGAGCCTCACTTATTAAAAGCTCTGTCCTAACAAGTTCCACAAAGCCAATTTAAATTTAGGCCATTTGGCGTGTCATTTATTCAGGCTCCAGATTATCAATATTAATCTCATCCTATCACCTTGGGGTTTCCCCAGAAGATCTCTGTGTCATCTGCTGACTAATCCAGGTCCTGCTAATCTTATAAAAATGAGGTGTCTTATGCCAATGGAGAAGCCGTAAGTGGCTTTTAAAAGGGTACAGTCAAATTACCAAAATTGCATTGTCAATCTACGTTGAATTTAATTGTAAACCAGAATGAACCGAAATATTTGGGGTAAAATCCACCCACTGCAAACACAGAAATGGTAACACCTAATGCCAACTGCTCCCAGAGGGGACCAGGGTTGGTGCTGTACTCTGAAATGAACAGCCCTTCAGAGGAGTGAGCGTATCCATCCCATTAGGCATGAGAATCTTAAAGGACTACCTATCCATGACCCTATGCAGCAAAACAGCCGTGCGAGAGCATCCCAGTGTAGCTACACTACCTTCATCCAGCTGGAAAATGCAAGAGAAGACAAAATGGTCCTGTCTTCAGCACTGGCTGAGAGCTGGAGCTCATCCCTGGAGAGGGGGACTGTGGTTGTGAGCACACCCTACCACCGCACGGGATTCCCAGCCCAGGGACGAGGTCCACAAAGCATGCAGCAATTTGGTGTGGTTTACCAGGTTCAGATAGGTTAAACACAAAAGGATAGAAAGAACATTGAAGCTCTCGATCCCAAGGCCAACGCTTCTACTTTTTGGCCTCCCATTCTGAATTGCAGGACTATGCAGCTGTCAGCCTTGCCAAGGTGAAAATCAAATGCTCCAGGAGCGGTGACTGGTTCATCTGAGAGTGACAAGAGTGATCCTAAAGCTCTTTGTTAGAAATAAAAAGTCTTGAAGGATTGAAAAAGATTAAGTGATGCACAAGGTTCAGTTACCAGCTAATGAAGAACTTACTTCCAAATGAAGATAGCAAAGTCTGGTTTGGACCAGAGAAAACCCCAGGTATTTAATCCTCCTGCACTTAATGCCATGTGAAAATCAGAGCGAGAGAAAATCAGCGTGCAGTCATAAGCCAATTTTCTGGATTCAAATGCAAATCATTAAAGACTGATGAATATTTATGGCCTTCAGTGAATCCCTTTCAATAATATTTATTACAGTAGCATTTGCAACATTAAGACTTGGGAAGAAGAGGGGACAAAAAGCCACCAAATATATTTATATTAGCATTTTGGAACTCAGGATTTCTGATGGCAGAACATAGATGATGGGCAATGACACGCGGGGACAAGCTTGACCATGCTCTGAAACACAGCCCAGCACTGCGGAGCGAATGAAGCAAAGCTCCCTCCCCAGCCAGGACAAGCTGGCCCAGGTTAGCTCTGGGTTACAACCAAGCAATAAACTCATTTTCTCACTCAAAAGGAGGCAACTGCACTCGGGACTCCGTGCAGCTGGCCCCTAGGCTTCCAGCCTCCTTGCTGGCCTTTTGTGAACCCAGTACAGTAAATTACAGAACTTCAGCCATCAACACCTGCCAACCAGTGTTTAGAAATCGCACTCATTCAAACCTACCAGCTACAACATCCAATTCTCCCAAATTCATGTTTCCTGCTTGATGTAAATCTTAGTTTCAGATAAAACCTTCAAATATATATGAAGGCTCTTCCATAAACTCTAACATTAGGTCTTAATGAAGGACCATGAAGCCAGAATAGAAGAAAAACAGAATTAAAAGCCTTACTTGTTTCTACATATAATTTATACTTTCTTCCACTCTTTGTCATTAATGCCAGTTTTCTTACAGGTGTTTTTTAACTGTCATTACATTCAACCAGTAGCCTATTCATAGGAAAGTTTGAATTATGCTGTCTACAGGCATACAGCATGAGACTGAAAATAAACCCACACAGCCCTTCACAAGGCATCAGATTCAAGTCCAGGAGCAACGTCTATCACGTCTGTGAATAAATAAGCAAGCTCAGTCCCCAGCCAGATCAGAAGCTACTTGAAACCCAATTTGCTGACTGTGCCAGCAGTGAAATGTGTGTGCATGCAGAGCCGCAGTCATCCTGCTGGTCAGTGTTTTGCGGAGAAATTTGCGGAGATATCGAAAAGCTTTAGTAGAGGAGGTAAGAAGTACCTTTACTTAATGCCTTTTGGCATTGCAAAAGCTAAATATCTGCTCTCCAGAAGTAGTATCTTTGTCAGACGCCTGGTGGAATTACTCAGCAGAAGAACGATAGGGCAGTCAGTAAGGTCTCCTCTTTAAAGGAGAGGACAGAAATAAAATTACAAAGGACAAACAGGAAACTGAAAACCTGTAGTGTGGGGGTAGCATTCAATATTGTGGCAGTAGCAATAAAAATGCAATTTTGCTGAGGGCACGGGGTGCGCATTTAGAAGAAAAGAGCTACCTCTTGTTCAGTCACCTACGGTCTAAATAAATAAGCCTGAGCACAGATCCCACTTTTGCAGCAACGTTCACCCCCTCTCCATCCAACAAGCTGCCATCACAAAGCCCACGCAAAGGCTTCTGGAAATTGAGTTGTGTTCATCACACTCCTTGAGCCTCCTGCATTAGGGAGACCACCCCAGCCCGGGCTACCTGAGCAGCATCCAGAGACGGGAGTGAACGCTGTCAGATGATGATACACGGATACACACACACACACACACCCCACACGGAGTTTTTAGCAGAGCATTTGCTACGCTGACAGCCTCCCATGCACGTGTCAGTCACGAGTGCCTCTGAAACAAGTCTATATGAGAGCTGGTCAAAACCCAAAAGAACTTTTCTAAAGCACTGAGTATTAATCTAAGTGCAAATTTAGGAAAGGAATAATTAATCTTATAAAGATTTTTTTCTGTGTTTTTAGCATTATTGGGGTTTGCTATTTAGGTTGTTTATTCTGTTTTCATTTTCCAGTTTTTTGATTTGGGTTGGGTGGAAAAGAAGATTTGCTTTGCCCTGTTCCCTGCCATCACTCCTGTTTCACCTTTTCTTTCCATTTTGTCATCGAGAAAAAACTCCTGGCAGTGAAGTCTTCCAGAAATTCTAACCAAATTGCTGTTGGATGTACAGTAATAAAACCCCCACTGCCTCCACAGTCAGCGCAATGATCAGCGTTCATTCATCACCGGCTGCCCCAGAGCAGTTCCACCAGAGCCCAGGATCCCACTGTTTCAGTGCAAACAAGGTACATTCATCTCACACCACGACAGCTTTCCTGGGAGAGCTACTGGCGTTTATTACAAACCCCAGCAAGCAGAATTATCCCCACTCCCTCTTCTTGTCTGTTTTGCAGCTTCAGAAGAGTTGTTCTCGACTAAAATCGGCGAAAGGGAGTATAAAATCGGGGTCTTGTGTAGGTTGCAATTCAAAGCAAACTGAAGTGAAGGAAATGCCCATCTCCTCATTCCGTTCTCTGCAATGCTGTTGCGGTGGGAATAAACTGTTGTAATAAGGGGGTAATTTCCAGAGCTGGCAGCACTGCTTGGCTGTGCTCTGGCCTCATGAGGACAGACAATAAATGCAAACAATCAAACCAGTGCTTAAATGGCCAAGTAGTCTCCTGAATACTCCCCAAAAAGACAGTTGGCCCCCTCTCATCCCCAGTGCAGCCACACCATTCTGCCCACTCTCTGCACTTGCCCCCTTCGGCTCTCACCTCCCCCTGCACGCTCCCTAAGGCTTCACTCATACCTCTCATGGTGAGAAAGGTCCGGCTGGTTTAGGTTGGCATCCCTAACTGTGAGCTTACTGGGGCAGAGAATTATTATGACTATTACTATTAATCTCATGAAGCAACCTGCACACCTGCAAATGAATATTAAAAAGCAAGAACAATCCCATCAGCTTTTGGATTGTCTAAGCCTTCGCAAGAGATACACCAGATAAATACCTTTGGCAGATAAATACCCTTGGAACTTTTCTGGACACTTGTCAGCCTTTGTGTTTCGTTATCTAAGCCCTGATCCAGCACCGGTTTATGCCTATGCCTCACTTTGTGTGTCATGATCGTCCACCAAAGAGAGCAGCCTCCCTGCCAGCTCAGTCCAGCCTATCTATAGCGCTTCGCTTTAAAGCCAGCACTGTGGATGGAGTCTGGAAGAATACTAGCTCAGGGGATCTCCCTGCAAATTATGCTGCTGCTGAAACCTGTTCTTAAATTTTTCACACTATGTCCCAGAGACCTTCCACCTTTAAACTGCAGAGAGACTGTTTATGGCAGATGCAATAAAGGGAACACAAATAAATTACCTGGGACTTTCTCCATTTTACATCCAAAATAAAACAGTTCTTTGAAAGTTGCTTCCTAGCTGAAGTTTCTAGACTGACTGTAAGAATGCAAGAAAATGGAAAAGGGCTTCCACAGAGCAGCAAAAGGACTTGTCTAATCACAGGAATGCATACGGCCAGTCCTTGCAGCTTCCTCCAAAACTAAGTTTATCTAGTATTTGAACTCATTAACTTCTAATTCAGCGAAGCACTTAAGCATGGAAGAAGTCCTATTAAGATCAGCAGGATTAGTCAGATATTTAAAGTTAAGTGTGCATCTAAGTGCTTTGGCCAGATCAGAGCTTGAGCTGCCTTCACCCACAGCCAGTTGTAACACCAGTGCTCAGGGATCCCGCGCC